CCAGGCAATGTTGAAACACCGAGAAACATGTGTTCAAACAAAACAAAATAGCAATATGTTGTAGAAAAATAGATCAAGAGCACAAAGACATAGAATTTATGTGATTTGACAATTGCCTATGTCTACAGGGAGAGATTTGACTAATTTTTTATCAGAGATTACAAAGATACTTTATTTCTTATGATCTCTAAAGATGACATAAGAAACCATCTCTCAATTTCACTAAAAAAATCTCTCAAAATCGTAGGTTTCCCTCTTATTCTTCTTTAATATATGCAACTCTATTTGGTTTAGATCATTTTAACCCTAGACCTAGAAGACCTTTTCCATAGGACCTAAAACCATATATAATACTATATAGGAGTCCTAACCTAGTAAGAATATAAAGTAGGCTATATTCGGAAATACCAACCCGAGACGTTCTGATTGACTAGTCCAGTCGACTATTGCAACTGGCCAATATACTGATAGAGTGATGTAGGACATCTAGAAGATTCGATTAGTAAGGATTTTTAGGATATGATTTTAAGATATTTATTTAGGATTGGATCAGCTCTTTTGTTAGATTTGCTATTTTGTTATTTTATTATATTTGATCTAATCTATTAGTTAGAATTAGTATTTATTTTATTGCTATAAAAGGATTGTAATATTTTATTTTGGAGGTGGAGTATTAAATGAATAAATTTTTTAATTTAGAAAAATTATGAAGTGATTCCTCAAGGCATGAAGCCATATTATTTATTAGGTGTCTGTGTGTGAAACTAGCATTTTCCATCATTTTTGAAGGTTAGATGTTGTGAATAAATCTAGTCTAACCTATTTATCTTTTATCATGCTGTATTTTATTTTTTATTGACTACAAAAATTAAAGAAAAAAAATTTTATTGTTGAAAGGTATTGTTCACTCGGGCGCTACTCGTCATCGCCTTTGTTCAGCATCATTTAGTATTAGAGCTGAAGGATCCATCTTCTTCTCCCCAAAAAGAAGAAAAAAATGATCTCCTCCATGACCTCAAATTTTCACTAGATTCAAAGTCCGAGTCCAAGCAAAAGAAAAAAGCATTCGTGATGACACCGCAAAAGCCTAGAATATCTTCTTAGCATTCTTGAGGAGGATACCATATTTAAAGATGGCGAGATTTGATATAAGACATCAAGAAGATTAGATTAGTTAGGAATTTTAATATATGATTTTGAGTTATTTGGTTAGGATTGAATTAGTTATTTAGGTAGATTTGTTATTTTATTATTTTGTTGGATTTGTTGTGATATATTAGTAACAATTAGGATTTATTTTATTGATTAAAAAGGATTTAATATTTTATTTTGGATATGTAGAATTGATATGAATGGAAATTCTAAGTTTGAGAAATTGTGGAGTGATTCCTCAAAGAAACCATATTTTTTATTAGGCGTCCATGTGTGAAACCATCATTTTTTATCATTTTTAGAGGTTAGATACTATGAATGAATCCGATCTAGCATATTCATATTTTATCTTTTTGTATTTGTTTTTTATTGACTAAAAAAATTTTAAAAAGAAAATTTTATTGCTCACGAATACTGCTCAACTGAATATAATTCATCATCACATCTGTTTCACATCATAAAGGTTTCTCCAAGTCGGATTGGCCGATCCTGTTGCCCTTCATTGCTATTTCACTTTGTTTTGTATACATGACTATTTCTCAATAATCTGTAATTATTGCTGGTATGAAACTAGCTTTGGAGACATCGATCTTTCCTTGTAATCTTTCATTGTAAACTTGTAAAACAGTAGAGAACGAACACCTTTGAAAAATAACCTTAAGCCCCATCTCCCAAAGACAACATATCAATTACCACTTGCCATTTGATGTCAAATCTGCTGTCTACATAACATAAATCCCAGTTGTTGCATGCTCTAAACTCATCTCTTGACTCGTTACAATATTTGTCTTGATTCCTCCACCTGGAGTAGAACTCCTCCTCCTACTCTCCCTCATAATCCAAGTTCTTTTCAAGCTCTTTCTCTTCATGGTCGTACACTATCTTGAAGACGACGCTCCATCTTGGACTGTAGTTTCTTCAGTCATGGTATAAATCATCTCCACAATTTTTCAAACTAGAATGAGATTCCTTTCGTGATATACCATGATGAATCCTTTGTGCACTTAGGTTTAGCACCCCATAGAGTCAAGCACCCCAATAGATATTAGATTCTAACTTGTATTTGGGACTAATCGAACATTGTCCAAGGTGACCATGCTTCCCTTCTTCCCGCCACTATGACTGCTCCTACACCGATAATGTCGCACCTTATACCATCTATCATGTAGACAATCTCCAAAACTCCTTACACTAGATAGACAGTCTCCTCTACTCTTTACACCAGAGAGGCAAGAAGGTTTGTTTGGAAACAAACATGAACTGATATTCCAGAATGTAATACCCAAGTCATCATAAGAAATGTTATTCCAAAAAACCATCAACATCTCAACATGTTAACTTTCATTATCTGAAATTGCCAACACATCCACTAGTTAACTTTCTCATATATGGTGCATACGAATAATGGTCTACCATTTGATCTTCCATCTTTTTCCCCTTAACCACTCTTGCTAAAGCAGTATTTTTTCACATGACCCTTCTCTTGGCAAAAGAAAAATTATTTAGTCTACAAACTTATCCATTTGAAGATTTCTTCCCTCATGCATCTGCTACTAACCTGCTACCGGCACACGACTCATCACCAGCACCTTGTCGCTCCTAAAAGTAATCCATGAGGAGTGCTATTTTTACCTCGTTCATGGTGATTGTCATCTTTCCTATAATTAGTGAAATTTTGAAATATTAGTAACTCACAATATGCTACGTTTGAACTAAGAGGGGTAGCAATATACTGTAGAAAAGTTGATCAGTAGCATAAAGACTTGAGATTTACGTGGTTCGACAATCACCTACGTCATTGGGGGAGAGCTTTGAGTTTTTTTTTAAATTAGATATTACAAAAATATAATCTTTCTTGTGATCTCTAAATATTTCCCAAGAAACCCTCTCTCAATCTCACCAAAAGACCTCTCAAAAACCTTGATTTCTCTCCTTACTTTTTCCACCTCTCTATGCCATATGCAACTTTCCTTGACTTAGATCACTTTTAACCATTGACCTAGAAAAATCTTTTCTAGACCCTAAAACCAATACAATATCATATAGGAGTCCTAACTCAAATATATTACAAAATAGGCCAAATTAGGAAATATTAGCCCAAGCCCGAACCGATTTGATTGAACGATCTGACCGGCAGCAGAGTTTTTTGCTGGTTGGACGGGTCAGTCCCACCGTCCATTGTCGCCATTTCACCTTATTTTTTTCTTGCTTCATTTCCAACTTTTCTGTTGACTTATAAGACTAAAATACAAAGGTATTTTCCCAACAATGTTTGAATTTCGATCTTCTTTGAAGTTTTAAAATGTTGGATGTTGTCACTTTTTTCATATAATAAACAAAGTTTTACTTACTTGTCGATATATGCCCAGATTATAGTAAAAATACTTTACTTTTTGAAGTTGTATTATGTTGAGTTTTATAACAATTTTTATTCCATATTTTAGTTTACGCTGCTCTCAATTGTGTTCTTGTTTGCAATCCTTTGACCATCAAATGACTTTATTGGACCTCAGGTGTCTTTAGCATCTTATTCTCCATGACCATGAAGTAATCCGTACATTTTGGTGTCTTTATGAGCTAGATGTGTGTTTGCGAGAATCCCCCAGATTCATCGATCCATAGCTAAACATATTACTATATTCTAAATGTTTTTAATTATGTTATAAGACAATTGAGAGAACACTTTCTTAATTTAAGTATTCAACCTTTCAATTAAATTATGATTAAAACAATGCGTCCATATATTATTAGAAGGTGGGGTAAATTTTAAGAAACCCTCTCAAATTAATTAAGAATTCAGCAAAATAATTTTTCAATGATGACCGTCGAAAATGAAACTGTTAGTTTTATTACGTTGGATTATTCTTTAGATGTTTGAACTGACACCATTAATACTCTGATAAAAGTGTTAGATAATGTAAGATATGTTATTTTTTTACTTTATTTGATAACTATTCATTCTTCTTTCCCGTATTGTTTGCTTTCCAACTTTAAAAATGAATTTTGATTTCGGTTGCTTATTTATCTCTTATATCGTATTCAAAATTTTGTTACTAAAATAGTCCTTTTTGCAGTTGCAGAAATCTAACCCGAGAAAGAGTAAATTCTAAACAACTGGTGTATTGCATATTTTCCGTTCGGACGTATGTAAAACAAAATGTCACTGAAAAAGACTAATGTCTTCAAGAAATTTTTTTAAAGATAAGTTCGTTTATTGAAAAATAAGATATATAAAAGGGAATTTCTTGTAATTTGCTCTATGCAAAGATCACTCATACAAGAACTCAACTGAAAATTGCTCTCCTACAAGCATATCTAGATTCTCTCCTACAAATTGTCGCCTCCCTACTTCTCTCTCCCTAAACGCACACCCACACACAAAAAACACTAATTAATCACTTGACCAATCACAACTTACTGACCCTTAACCCCAACCATTAATCACCTCCCCCTCCTTCACACCCATTTAAAAACCCTCCTCTCATAACCCAACAACAGCATGCATCAACATGTTCAACCCCTCATCCGACCCCCACCCTCGAATCTCCTTCTCCAACGACTTCGTCGTCGACCCCGCTCCTTCGGCCCCGACCCACGACCGCATCTGCTCTGACCCAGACTTCGAGTTCACCTCTGCCGGCTCTCGGCCCATGATGGCCGCCGACGAACTCTTCTTCAAGGGTCGCATGCTTGTGCTCTTGCTGCGCGGTGCGGCGGGTGGCCCGGCGACGGCAGCTGGCTCGCGCGCCGCAGCAGAGTCACGCTCCTGCGGCGAGGAGTGCTCTCGCGCGCCGTGAGTCGATGACGCGCGGCTCACCAATGTGGCGTCGTACGCTCTGGTCGGAGGCGACGTTTCCTGGGGCTGAAGAGGGCGGGGAACTATGGGAATGGGAAGAAGGGGGAGAGGGAGGGTGCTGATCAGCCGGGGCCCGGCAAGGGTACGCAGGTAATTTAATGCTTGTGGGTTTTTGTTTTGTTTGTAGTTAATGATTAGTTTTGACTTCCTAGTGATGGTGTTTACCATGGGCTGTATTTGAGGTGTTTTTGATCATGTAGTATTGGATTTATGATGAACTTTCAAATGGGTATATTATGGTAGATCAAATCCATTATTAAGGATTTTGTTTTAGATCTATAGTATTTGTGTACTGGATGTTATCGATAATAGCTTAGCTCAACTCTACTTTTAGTGCTACTAGTATCTTTCAACTCTTCGTTAGCGCTTACTCTTTACTAATTCATGAAAAGAGTGAGGTTATTTGCAATTAATACACCCTTCTCAAAAATGTCATTCTCACAAGAACAACAGTGAGCACTACCAATCGAAGATTAGATTGATATTTAGCAGTATATCTTTGTAATTGTAATACCTAATTATTTGATGTTTTTAATAACTTTCATGTGATTCTTTTGGGTTTGTTTCAGGAGCAGTGCAGTGATGGACGTGGTCGGGGTAAAGAAGTAGAGATGGGGTTCTAGTCATACTGATTTGTGCTTTTGCTTTATGGCTTCCTGTTTTTTAAGGGAAATCTTCTTCTGGTTTTTTCCCCGTTTTTAAACCTTTTTTCGCTTCTTGTCTGTCTTCTTGATTAATTATGGTGTAGGACTTGAAAGTTTGGAAAATGTAGAGATATTGACTAATTGTGAAGTGAGAGCTCATTTTGGTTTTGGATGTGGTTTGTTGGCAAGAGACTGGGGTAGTCTCTACTGTGGAAAGACTAATTTTAATGAAAATTATTATTATTTAACATATGATGAATTATAGAATTAGATAGAGACGTGGAGCGAAAGGAGAGGTGCGCGAGCTCAGAATCTGACTATTTCTTTCATCAAGGGTATAACAGTTCAAAGTAAAAGACACGCGAATCGTAACAACAAAGAAAGAGTAACTATAGTTAAATATAATTCGGAAAGTGTTTCCTAATATGAATATATTTCCCTGGAGTTTATGTTTGAAATATGAAGATCGATATAGATGTTTATTATATAATTAACAATGCTTTGTAGGTCTAATATGGCAAACCCAATTTTTAATGTAAAATAAGAAATAGAGAGACTCCAAATTTCTTAAAAATATTTTGTTAACTTTTATCTCATTTAATTTGTACCAATTTAAAGAAATTAATTATTACTTTTTAGATTTTTCAATAAAATTAGAAAAAATAATGTATCTTAAATGCAAATTATAAATGAGAACAAATTATTAAGAGCATACTCATACTAATAATATTAGAATTAATCAAAACCGCTGGGATATAGTGAGAGAGAATTTAAAATTTGTTGGAAAACATTAATTAATTAAGTCTTCTCTTGTTTCAGAAGTACACAATGTTAGGATTTAATTCTAATTTTAACACATGCGCTCAGGTGTCTTCTTTCGCTCTCTTGTTTTAGTTTTCTTGTACAAAATATTTGTAGCTGGATAAATTAATGTGTGATAGTTCAAAATTAAAATCTGATGTTTTCTTGTACAAAATGTTTGTAGCTGGCCAAATTAATGTGTGATGGTTCAGAATTAAAAATCTGCAGAGATGAGGCTTTTATTGCTGCATCCATCTGCAATATGTTTGGGCCCCTTTAGGATGAGTAACAATACTCCTCTTGTCTTTTAGCATGTATGAGAGGAACAAAGGTGTGTTTGACAACTTATCACTAATCTCCTTAAGATTTTAATTGGCTAGGATTGAACCAAGTTAGAATGGTCCGAAGGTAACATTGATAATGATCCTTTTCTTGGGGCCAAAAAAGAAAAAAAAAATAGTTTAAGGTTTCAAAAGTTTTTATCAAATACATTTTACACTCTTATCTAAGTAGACTTATCCAAGTTAATGAGCGAGTTGCCAAACAAGCTCTAATAAAAAGAAATCGTGATGATAATTTTGATTTTTCGTAATATTAGAAATAAAGCATTTTTTATTCATAAATGAATGCAGTTATGCAAAGAGTCAAATTTGTAATTTAGTGAATCATTTTGTTCCTTGTTATCAGTAGACTGTTTGAACTTTGAATGAAGAAGAGGACAAGAAAGGATGGGGTTCGTTTGAAAATATGCGTGAGAAGAAGAAGACAAGAAAAGATACTAGGGTAAGAACAACCAATTAGAGTCAGGTCTGAAGAGTAAAAGTAAAATTTTCTGGTCCTTCTACATTGCCCTAAGCAAAACGTGTTCGGTTCTGGGTGTTTCACTTGAGGTGCAAACCAATCACATACCTGATACCATATCATTTATTATAGAGTTAATTACAAATAGACCCCATGCAGTGTAATCTAGTTGTAGATAGATCCGCTATAGCTCTATTTGTGCAAATTGACTTTCCGAGTTTTTTTTTTTGTCAGATAATTTAATTATCTAGACATGAATAGTTGAACTAGAAATATAGATCAAAGTTACCATTCACCGTCGAAAAAACAATGGAAGTCTTCTCCTCTCTCCTCCCGTAGCTAACGATGGGAATTTGGTCTCTTTTCTGCGTACGGTTGAGAGGAGAGACTCCCACCCTTAAATAGATATTTATGATTAACCCTACTCATCATGGTTTAATCACAACCGTGGGATTACATTCCGATCGATCATATCCTTTAGATATTCAAGATAACCACTCAACTTGATAAACATGAAACTGTCTAACAAGACCATGTGGTTAACATCCTGATCCTAACTTGAATCGATGGCAACTTTAAATCAAATCCAAAATCGAGTAGGTTTGGCCACATGGGTTCGTTGGATTAATCGAACCCAACAATCTGCCACTTGGCACAACATACCTCATTTTAATTTTAAAAAACTTTTAATTTTTTCAAAAACTTTTAAAGTTGGGTGCGTACCCATTTATTTAGAAAACAACTTGTTGCCATAATTCTAATTAGGATAGTTTTCGAAATATTTTCCTTAAAACAAAAGTACCACTAATAGTTGATCCTGAAAACACTATATGCTCTAATATGGCACAAGGTCACTCCACGGTCCAACCGCTAGTACCGCTAATGTTCTAAAGATATTTTCCTTATGGTGGATTTAGTAGAGTGTAATAGAGTCGTACATCCCTTATGGTCAAATCTGATGTATGCCCTTAAGTGTCCTCTGCAACATACACAAATGTGTATGCCGTTCTGAAACTTTTACCGGCATCTGTCATGTGAAAACCATCACGTTTGGTCTAGAACGAAAGCCTCACATATGATGCCCAATCACATTCAGCTTCTACACAAATTTACGAGTCTATTTACTTTAACCTTTATGACTCTATGGACCACTATCTTTAATTCGAGTTTTCTTACGATTAACTTAATGACCAATAACACAATGTTTGAAAATATCAAACTGCTAATATAAAAAAAATCAGCACAATAGTTTTTTATGAGTTCAAAGCAATCCAAAATATAATCCTTGAAAATAAGACAAAATCACTACGACAACTAAATCTCACTGATCATACAGAATCGAAAGACTCTAAAACACTCATACTAGAGACATGCTCCTTGAGAAGCCCTGAAGAAATTCTCTTGGTCAAGGGATCAACAATAGTCAACTGAGTCGGCAAATGAGGAACCTCAATCAATCCTTGTTCAACCTTATGAAGGACTAACAAGTACTTCACACTAATGTGCTTATTCCTACTAGAAAAGTTCTTTTTCTCTACAAACTGTACGACTGTCTGATTGTCACAATACAACTTTACTAGTCTCTGAATGGAATCCACCATCTTTAGTTCATTGATGAAATTATTGAGCCAAGAGGCATGCAATGTTGCTTCAAAAATAACAACATACTTTGCCTCCATGGTGGATGTCGTCACTAAGGACTGCTTGGCACTTTTCTAAGAAACTGCTCCTCCAGTGAGCAGAAATATATAACCTAATGTTGATTTCCTACTATCAACACATCCTGAAAAATCTGAATCTGAATAACCGACGACTTCTAGACTTTCAGACATTCTGTAGACCAACATGAAATCCTTGGTCCTTTGCAAATATCTCAAAACCTTCTTTACAACTTTCCAATGAGCTACACCAGGATTTTGTTGAAACCTGCCTAATATTCCCATGATATAACTGATGTTTGGCCTGATGCATGATACCATATACATTAGACTGCCAACTGCAGAGACATACTCCTAAGATTTCATGAGCCTACGCTCAACTTCATTTCGCATGCATTGAGATTTGTTGAACATATCTCCTTTGACAACTAGGGCTTCACCTAGTGAACAAAACTTCATGCCATATCACTAAAGGACTTTCTTAATATAAGCCCTTTAAGATAAGCCCAACAAGCCTTTAGTCCGATCTCTATGGATCTTGATGCCCAAAACATAATGAGCATCTCCTAGGTCTTTCATATCGAAATGCCTTGAAAGAAAATCCTTAATCTAATATAGGATATGAATATCGCTGCTGGCAAGCAATATATCATCTACATACAATACTAGAATGAGGAATCGACTCCCACTAATTTTTGAGGTATATACAATGATCGACAGGATTCTCTTGGAAGCCATTTAATGTTATCACTTAATAAAATTTTAAGTACCACTGTCTAGAAGCCTATTTGAGACCATATATTGACTTCTTCAATCTGCAGACTAGATTTTCCTTAACTGCAAACCCTTCAGGCTACACCATAAAGATTTCCTCATTCAGATCTCCATTCAAGAATGTCATCTTGACATCCATCTGATGGAGCTCAAGATCAAAATGGGCGATAAGAGCAAGAACTATCCTGAGAGAATATTTCTTAAGTACTAGAGAAAAAGTGTCAACGTAGTCAATCATTCTCTTTACTTGAAACCCTTGGCCATTAGCCTGGTCTTGAATCTCTCAATGTTTCCTTCAGAATCCTTTTTGGTCTTGAAGACCCATTTACATTCCATCTCTCTAGCTTTGTTTGGCAAAGGTACCAACTCCCAAACATAGTTCTTTTCCATTGACTGAAGCTCTTTTTCTATAGCCTTCAGCCAATCAGATGCATGAATGTTTTCTCTAGTTTCTGAGTATGATGAGGGATCATCGGATTCTGGATCAATGCATCCACTTTCTTGAAGATAGACCTCATAGTCATCAGGTATGGCAAATCTTCTGACTCTAGAGGATCTTCTAATAGGTTGTGGCTCTTTCGCAGATACAAAGGTTTCTTGAACTGGAGGAGGAGGTGGAATGCTATCTGGAAGAGTAGGGAATCTAGAGATGACATCTAATACCGAAAGCAACTTCTTATCTTTTAAAACTTCCTCAAAACTCAGACCACGATGTTATGAAGAAGTATTAGGGTCTTCCAAAAACTCAGCATGTTGTGTCTCAAAGAATTGGATAGACCAAGAAGAACAATAGAATCTGTAGCCCATAGATCTTGCTGTTAGACCCTAGAGGGGGTTGATTAGGGTCTTATGCTAATCTAATCCCGATTAAATACCAATTAAAATTATATTGATTAATTTGTTCTTGCAAAAAATATATGAGATGGATATGAACAAGAATGATATGAATAATCACAAATAAAATATATGCTAAGCAAAACACAAACACACGATATGTTTATGAGGTTCGGTCACCACGACCTACGTCCCCACTCCTCACCTCGAGGAGATCTCCACTATCATAATCCGGTTTGGAAGCCGGAACTTCTACACACTCGGTTTACAAGTTTACCGAAAACTCTCACATAACGAATACTAT